GGCCTCCCAAAGTGCTGGGATTACAGGCATGAGCCACTGTGCCCAGCCTTTTTTTTTTAGACAGCGTCTTACTCTGTTGCCCAGGCTGGAGTATAGTGGTGCAATCATGGCTCACTGCAGCCTTGATCTCCCAGGCTAAAGCGATCCTCTCACCTCAGCCTCCAAAGTAGCTGGGACTGCAGGTGCATGCCACCACACCTGGCTAATTCTTGTGTTTTTTGTAGAGACAGGGTTTTGCCATGTTGCCCAGGCTTGTCTTGAACTTCTGGACAAAAATAATCCTCCTACCTCAGCTTGCCAAGGTGTTGGGATTACAGGCGTGAGCCACTGCACTCTGCCAAGGCTTTATAGTTTAGTTGAGCACTTAGTGTATGCTCAGACAATAAGCTCCAGGGCCTCACTTGTGTTACCTAATTTAATCTCAGTGATATTCATATCATTGTGCCCATTTTGCAGAAGAGCAAACTGAAGCTTGAAGAGTTTAGGAAATGTGCTTAAAGCCACACTGCTAGTAAGTGATAGGGCTGGGCTGTTAACCCAGGCAGCCTGGCCCAAGGCAGGGTTTCTCACCCTGGGTGCTGTGGACACCAAGGGCTGGGTCATTCTTTGTCGGGGATGTCGCGGAGGCTGTCACGTGCAATGTGGGATGTTTAGCAGCATCTCTGGCCTCTCCTCACTAGGTGTTATCATCATCCCCACCTGTAGTCCGTGGCAGCCAGATGGCCCTGGGGAGCACAGTTGTCACCAGTAGGGGACCGCTGCTCTGTGTCCTGTGCTGTAACCGTTGCACTGCTGAACCTCATGGCTTGATGGGAAGACAGGACTGCATTCTTTGGCCTTAAAAGCACCCCTGCCCACCTAAGTGGACATTTCCCCTGGCAGGGGTGGCTCAGGGCAAGGGCTGCAGGCCTGGGTCTCCACTTTTGGATGCTGGTGGAGCTAGCCCCAGAGGGCACTGTGTGGCTGTGTTTTACTTAGAGACTGAAAAGGAAGTTATTGCCACCAGGGAGGTCCCCTGGGCTGAGGGCTAAAAAGCTGAGGACCCTGTTGCTGGAAATGGCTTTGCAGGGCCACATCGGTGCACACCAAGCGACTCCTGGGCCCCTGGGAGGGCTGAGGGCCTGCCTGGGTTGCCAGGGGGACAGACCTCATGAGCTTTGGCTTGAAATGCCTCTGCCCCTCCCCATTGATGGTGGGTGGGAGACAAGATTTGTTTTTCAGTCCGGAAACAAAAGCAGGACTCAGCGCTCAATAGAAAGCAAACCGCCAAGTCGGGCCCTCTGTGGAGAGGCCCCGGAGTTTCGATGTGGGGTGCAGAGGGTGGGATGGCCAAGGGCGTCCCTAAGGAACAAAGGAGGAAGAAGCAAGAGTGCATTGGGGGTGGGAGGGGCAGACAGAGGGAGCCAGCGGGGCCAACTCCAGGCTGCCAGGAAAGATGCCTGGGAGAGGGCATGGCTAATCACCAATCTTGGGTGTTCTGAGAACAAGGAGCTGGAGTTACAGGTGTTTATTAAGGGCTGACTGTGTGCAGTCATGAAACGGCATGGACAGTGGCAGAATGGGACTGGCTCACAAGAGTGGGTGAGTAGATTTCCAGGTGTCCCGCAGACTGGTTGTTAAACAGTGCT